AAGCATGTGTAGGTGTGCAGAAACTTGAGCAAAAGATCAAGCTTCTTCTTTTTTAAAGAGGCTTCATGGTAGGCTGGATCTATATTATTTATTTATTATATTGATATCCTGCTGTTTTCTTACAATGAACTCTATCTGACCTTTGCTCCTGATTTTCTGCAAACTGCCTAGGAAATCGCCATAGAGAGTTGATCTCTGTTTCAGTTTTTTGTCCTTGGAAGATTCCTTTCGACATTTGTGCTGCTGTGAGTTGCAGAGGTTGCTGTCCTCTACCCAGTTCATAGAAAGCAATGGGTGGATGTCTCTTGCCTTGCCTCCAGGGTACATATGCCCACAGATGTGCATATAGGAGCACCAAAGCAAAACAGAGCCTAGCTGGTCTTCCTTTTACCTGCTGCACTTAGTGAGGTTCATTTCAAGCAGCTGAGAACGTATCACAGGGCAGCTGTCTCTTTGTATTCAACCTGAACAAAATGTGCCTATTGCCTTTAAATTAATGTATGTTGGGTGTTGCACAGCAAATTAATTCAGTGTAGATCATTCAACAGCCACTAATAGTCCTGAAAGACAGTGAGACTTGGGTGAGAACGGGCATGTTAAAAGTGTGATTTTAAACTGAAATGTTGGAGGGTTTAATATGGCCTGGGAAAGTGCAGTATGATTAAAAGATTAAACCTGCTGCAGTAACTATGAAACTTAGATTGTGTGGTTCTAGGGAAGAACAGGTTTTGTTAAATCCATTCTGTCTGCGTTTCACAGATTGTCAGGTGTCTTTTGTTCTGTCAGCTGCTCATTGAAGGAATTATTTTTCTAAATCATCTTTCACCCTACTTGCACCAATTCTTATTAGTGCTTTAGTGCAAGTGCACATTAGTGCTATTGCACAGCTGAGAGGTTGAGCAAATCCACCTATGCACATGAGTGTGAATTAATGCTAATAGGCTTCCCCCTCCAAGTGAACAACCAGCCCCCAACACCATATCTCTGTGAGTCAGATGAAGCCAATCCACTGTGAAATGTACTGCGTGGGTTCTTAGAAGGCTGGGCTCATTTGAATCCAATGTGGATTTCTCCATCATCTCTACTGAAAGGAGTCGATAAACAAAGAATGGCCACTGTCTTAGTCAGCCTGCAAGAATGAAAGGCCTGAGTTCATTTCTGTCTAAATATTATATACTGAAGGGAATTTATCTGATTGTGCTCCCTGATCATTACGGTCAAGAATGGAATGAAAAGAAGAAGAAAAAAGCATTTGCACAGGCTAAGAAAAATGAAGGGCATGGAAAGTATTTAAATATTCCTATTCGGAGAGGAAGAGTCAAAGAAAAAGTGCGTGTATGAAGTTCATGAAGCTGGAAGGAGGAGAATGGTGAGCAGAGGAGATAACAGGTTGTAAAAGAAAACAAAGACAGAACTGAGAGGATTTCTCAAAGGAGGTAGAAAAAGTGTAAGCATGCAGTCCATCTTGATTCCATACAGAAGAATCCTTTTTGCCCCAGAAAAGCTTGAGGAGGCCAAAGGAAAAACTGACCAAGAAGACTTTGGAGGGTGACAACTGAGGCAGCAAGAAAGGGAGATGTTGGCTCAGAGGGCACAGTTCCAGCCAAAGAGGAGCTGACTGAAAGAAGGAGCAAACATAGGATACAGCTGTTGCCTTCCTCACTTCAGGATTTGTAAGGAGATGCCTTTGGGGCAGGTAAATTCCTGTTGCAAAGGGCCAGGGATATGATTCAGTAATTTTTGAATGAGCCAGAGATATAAAGCACTCATTTCTGCCGAGTTCTCGTAATGATAAGCCACACTTTTCTATGTTCAGCTTGTCTACAGTTTCATCCTGATCTTGGCCTTCTAAATCCTTATCAAAATGGCACGGTAAACCTCTGTTGGAGCGCAATCAACCCTTCATTTTCCATTTTCCACAAACCAGAATGTGAACTAGAAAGCAGCCGTGAAGTTACCCTTTGCCCTCTTTGGCCCACAAAGTCCTAATGATTCAGTCTTGTTCACTAGGAGATCCTTGGAAGTATCAATTTGAAAAGCCATGATCACGAAGCAGGAAGCCTCCAGACATCCTTCCCTAAATTCCACTGTGTTTTTGTGGGTGCCAAGCCACAGATCAACATTGTTCAGAGAACGCATAACCACAACACATCTGAGAGGCACTCATTCATTTATTCATTCATTCATTCAAGTCAGACAATTCAGATCTTTACACTGATGGTTTATTAATTCTAATCAGATCAAGATGGCTTTGGACCAGGCTTTTCTTTTTGAAAGAAAGGCCATTCCTCTCTCTGATTCCTGAGCAAGTTCAAACTGGCAAGCCAGAAAACATGATCCCCAGTGTTGTTGTCAGAGAATAGAACAATAATTAGTATGGCACATAGATCAGTGCTGGTTTTTTGGAAACCTACAAACAGCAGCTAGGGGTTTTCAAGGGGTCTTTTTAACACATGCCACACAACATCTGGGGGATTGGCTCTCACTCTGTCTCAACAATACACTTAATAGCTGTTTTCCTTTTAAACGTTTGTTAGCCATCTCCTAAGGCTTGGCAGATATTCTCCCCTAAATACTACAGCAGTGCGGTGAATGTAAACAGACAATTATGTATTATTTTACTACAAAAAGCCAGATAGAGAGGAGATTCATTTACAGTTGCAACACACACTTATGATTCCATCTACCCTTCCATTTATGCACGATCAGCCCCTTTGATAACCTTCAAGCACTTTTTTTCCTGTGATGCTCAGTATTTACCTCCCCCACTTTTACAAATCTCAGGACAGCACCCAGTGCTATCACAGCCCTGATGCTGATGACATTGTGCTAGCACATCCCAGAATTACTTCACCAGCATTTACTAGGAAAAGAGAAAAGGTGGTGATCCAACACCACAACTGCACTACCAAAACTGGATGGCAAACTGGATGGGACCGCTCTTTCCCTCTGCTCGGCAAGTGCTAACAGCGTTGTGCTAGCATCGGTCTATGCCAGTGCAATATCATTAGCACTTGCACTGTGGCAGCATTGGGTACTGCCCTTGGATTAAGGTCGCCGTTCAGTCAGAGTAAGGCCCAAGACCCATTGATTTCCATAGGAGGTTACTGTGTGCACATGTGCACAAGACTGTAGAAACCAAACTCATATGCTTAAGAGTAAAATGGTACATTTTTCAGCCAAAATATTTCCCCAAACCCCAAAACACCCCTTGCTTCCTTATGTTTATTCTGTAAAACTGTGGCGGCCAAATGTTTGGGAAAACATGCCAGAAGCCAAAACCAAAGTCTCATTTATTTTTATTTATTTACTTAAAAGGGTTCTATACTGTCCCAAGCTTAAAAGTCTCAGGACAGTTTACAGCAAATGTATCCTTTGGGGCAGCCCTCCCCACCCTTATGGGCTCCAGGCACATTTGGTCTGCAACACCCAGAACTCCCTGTCAATGACCCTGCTGGATGGGAATTCTGGGAGTTGGGGCCCGAATGCCTCTGAGGGCCACCAGGTTAGGGGAGGCTGCTTTGGGGGATGCACAGGAGTAGATTGATTTGATCACATTGGTATGGTGCCCCATATCCCATGGGGTTGTCTGGGTGGCTTGCAACAAGATTTGATGCAGTTTTGTCTACTTTACTGAGCACAGGGATCAGCAGCACGGGAAAGACAGACTGGTGCTCCAGGCTAGTTCCCCCTAGCCCTGCTCAGGAATGACACGAAGCCTTCATTCCTGCACTACAGGTAGGAATGAGCAGATCATTCCCTTTCTTCTCTGTGCCTCCTACACATGCCCATTCATAAGGCAATTCTGTCACACTGCTACATTCATTTGTGCCAGTGAATAAATAAAAGCCACAAAAATCAGAGTTTCAGAGTTTGAGAAAATATATATTTTTGAACTGTTTTCCTTCAGAGTGATTTTCTCTCAACATAACCATTTTCAAATTTACATGATTGCCAAATACTCATTTTAAGTGCAACTTGATTAAAAAAAAAAAAGCCGAAAAAACGTTTTGCAGCATTTGCAGAAGTGCAAACTTTGAGGAATGCCTGGCTTCCGATGATCATGTTGGCTTGGGAGGTGTGGACTGTGTCAGTCCTTACTGGATAGGCTTCAATTACTCAAGCCTATTGAACCGCGAGTTGATTATCCATGCCTTAAAATGAATTAGAATCATCACTTTGTCCCTTAGCATGCCTGAAAGATGCCACTTTGTCCACTCCACTGCTTTCATCGGGAACTCATAACCACTCGGATGAACTATCAGCCAAAACAAACAGCTGTTTCTCATGTCACTTGGTGCCCAAACTGACTGAACAGGAAATGCAGAATTGCTTTTTAATTGCCGCATAGTTTGCAGTTATTTGGATGCACCCCATTTCTGGTCATTACTGGAGAAACAGGGCCTCAGTGGCCTTAAATATGCTACTTAGGGTTTCCTTCTCCGGTGTGATGTGGAGGAGCTGCTTCCTTTCAGACCTGGCTCTAACCATTTAAGGCTAAGGACGCCTTCTCCCTCCTCCTCCAGGGTGCCTGCCGCTGGATGCGAGTGAGTAATTTTAGGTTTGGGCTGTGTTCCCTTGTTTTGTTGTTCCTCGTCTTCTCGCAAGTGCCTGTGCGCTCACCTCACAAACAAAACTACAAAAAAGAGGAGGAAGGGAGGGAGCGAGAGAGAAAGCCAACAGGTTGATCTGGATTACATCAACAGTCACACCCTCCTCGCTTTATGAGCATAGCAGAACAGGTGTTTGTAATTCATTAGCTAAACCGGGCTCAGCACAGGCAGGAATCACTTCGTCGCTCCCCAACGTGCACCTCGAGAGTCGCAGTGGCAGTTCGCGCTTGCTCGGATCTCCACAGAGCCACCATGACAAGCCACTCCAGGGACTTCGGCAGCCTCCGCAGCAGCCGCTCGCCGACATCCCCAGGCGCCTCTTGCACCACGAGGAGAGAGCGCTCATGCTCCCCTTCCTTGCGCCGTGGGGCCTGTCGCAGCCCCACCATGGGTGACACCAGCAGGAAAACCTTCAGCTCTTCAAGCTTCACTGGATATGGCCACCGTGCTTACCCAAAGGTTTCCGTCAACAAACGGCTCTTAGCTCCACTGCATCTGGACATTGACCCCTCCTTCCAGGAGATCAGGAACAAGGAGAAAGAGGAGATAAAGACACTCAATAACCAGTTTGCTGCTTTGATTGGGAAGGTAAGATAAACCTCTCAGTGTGGACCAAAGACAGGCTACGGCCTGCTCGCTCATGAGAACATGCCAGATGGCAGATTCAGGGCCTGGCAGATGAGACAAATTGATCATATGATCTTCTGGTTCGGGTTCTGGTTCTGGTTCTGGTTCAGGAATCAAAGTGTCCAAGGCCAGGCCTGGTGCAGGCCACAGGCTTTCAGTACAGTGCTTTGCTAACAACCTGGATCTTATTTCTAGTGCTTTACCCTTACAAGTGCTGAACACATGACACTTGTGAAATATCCTGTCCTCGGGGTGTTGTGTGAACAGCCTTCCTCTGTTTATGGGGGAGAGATGGTAGCCAATCATCAGGGTGTGTTTTTTTCCTTTAAAGAAATAAGAATTGATGTACCCTCCAGCACAGGAGACTAAAAGTGCATGGTTTCAAAGAAAAGAAGAGAAAAGTTGTGAAAGCGGTCTGGCAGAGCCTTGCGGGTGTTTGCCATGTTTTAAAAGCTAAGCGCTACATGTCAAAAAATATACACTGAGATGATACTGAAGAGAATGAAAGGGAAAACAAACTTTACAAAGAAAAGGTTAGAAAATTGCAGACATGGGGAGAAGTGCTGTCACTCAGCTTTCAATATTAAAGGCATTATCTAATGAGCATTTCATGGATGCAGCCACATTCCAGATTATGCCTGCAAAGCAAGGGGCATGCTAACTGGAGAGGAAATTCTGTCTTCTTAAAGAAGAGGGGAATAAATTTCTAAGGTTTTCCAATGAGTAACTGTCTTTTGACTTTAAGCCTCAAAACACAATCACTGCAATTCATTGGGAGAAGCCACAAGAGCTAAACTAGTTCAATAACTACAAACTTTCAGGGTGCATCTGAGTGTTAAATTTATTTGCAATTTACTGCACCTGTTTAGCTGCCGTGGCTTCCCCTGGCGATGTGTGGGGATTTTGTGAGCCGCCCCGAGGCTTTGTTGCGATGGGGGCAGCATAGAAATGTTTTAAATAAATAATAAATAAATATTTTGTTGAGAGGGTGGATATTTCTCTTCTAAGTCTTATGCCCCCAGCCCCATAGGATGGTTAAACAAGTGATCAGCCAGTAGGATATTTATTGATTCAGTGATTCCATAGGAAGAATGAAGTCTTTCCCTCACACACTAGGCCTCTTTCCCACGCTTGGCTAAAGCTTGGCCAAAGCTTGGCCTTGTTTGGGCCTATAGCTGATAAAATAATTGCTGGACTTAAAATTCTGCCCATCATATCTTATTTTAGAGGAGGGATCCAACTAGCCTGAGTCCTAGTAGAGCCAGTTCCGTCATCCAGCGTAAGCATGGTTGGGGCTCTGCCAGGAGGCCACGCTTCAGCAGGAGCCCTCCTCCAAGCTGCTTGTCCACATGTTTCTCACTCGCCTGTCCAACAGGCAAGGGATGACTATAATGAACAGGTGGATGAGCAAGAGCAGCTGGAAAGCTAGATCCATTAAAGGGGAGGATCCACTGAGTGGGTCCTGCCCGGCCGCCTTTGATAAACCATCAGCAGCATGATCAATCACAGCAACCAGAAGCAGAAGTTGAGCCAAAGAAGGCAATACAACCCATGCGCCATTAACACAACCATCCAGTTGAACAGCTGAGTAGTTATCTGAAAAGGCAAATCAGTGCCATTAGAAGCCCGAAAGAACAGCACCACCTTGGCCTGATACCAAAAGATAGTAAGAAAAGTGTCAAGCAAAACTGACTGGGGAGGGAGTTCCACAATTTGGGTGCTACCACGGAGAAGGCTGCCTCTGTTATGCTTTATTTGCCTGTTTTCAGACGTGGGCAGCACCTTGAGAAGGGCCTCAAGGGAAGATCATTGGTAATTAACAAGTCCATGTTGGACAGTGATGGGCATTTTGTGGCCCTCCAGCATTCTGGCCTACAATTCACACAATCCTTCACCATTGTCTATGCTGACTCAGGCCGAAGGGGGCTCTAGGCCAAAAGATCCAGAGGGCTGCACATTGCCCACCCCAGAGCAATCTTTCATACTATCATGTTCTAGGCTGTCCAAGGGACTTAAAGGCACAAACTGGGACCTTAAATGGAGGCTGGAAATGAGCTGAGAGTATTTTTACTACTGACCCTCCATTGCTTTCTGCAGAATAAGCTTTAGGCATTCATAGCCTGCTATAAGTTCCTGCTTTATTTAGCACTTTAAGCAGAGAAGGAGACTAAAATGTTGGAATAAATAGCCCTATATTTGACTGAAGCAACTGCCTTCAGTGGTTTGAAGACGAAATGTCACTGCAGTGGCATGCCACACTAACTTCCCTCTCAGCTCCCAACAAATGAGGAATTGTCTTGTGTACTAAAACTTCACGGGGAAGGCAGTAGTTTGTTTTCAAAGTAAAATGGTTTGACTACCCAAGGCAGGTTGCTGCAAAGCCTGCATGTTCTGTAAACAGATGGTAATCTCCTGAAGGGTTGCTTCACCAAAGTGTCTAACGTAGGCAACAAATGCCAATCCTGTTTTTAAAAAAATAAACAAACAGAAAATGACACACACGTTAGTATCACTGTGATTCAGTACTGAGAGACACAGTTTATTCCTTAGGTAGGTGATTACTACAACCACTGTTTCTGCCAGGCAAGTGCTGAACAATGAGGTACATTCTCTGCCCAGAGCATTCAAATGTGGAATATTGGGCACAAGGGCAACTTTGATCCAGTCTTTGGAAATGCCAGCCGTAAGAATGTCAGCATAAACATTTTACATTCAGTTCTTGGCTGAAGAAGAGGTAAGCTGGGAACTGCAATGGCTTGATCCAATGGTGTATCAACTTTGTCAAGGACCCCTCTGGTTCCACAGAAACCGATCAGAGATTCCTCTATCGGATGAACAATAACGCAGGGCAATGTTCCTTGCCCACTCCTACATGTCTTTCCCTGGAACAGAAAGCCACAAGGGAGAGTGTCCATGTACTTCTGGCTGCTCTCTCAGTTCACTGAGTGGAAGGAGGCCTGGCCACCACACTGCAGGCAAAGAATGCCCAGCCTTCAACCCTCCCAGAATCCTTTGCCTCTTGCAGTAGTTTTGTGGAAGATGTACCAATGTCCACTGGCAGGCAAAGCCATGTGGAACATTAATGGGTGTAGGCCTAGCAGTTTTTGCTACATGTCTGCAAAAACTGTGGTCACCAGTCCTCAGTCTCTCTCTGTTCATACAGTAGCCATCAGAAAAATGCATGACAGTTTTCTCCAACCTGGTCCCTGCAGCTGTGAAGTGCTGGGAGTGTTAGCAATTGGGTTACATACAGAAATGTGATCAGGGTTTAAAACAAGAACAACAGATCAGTGTAAAAATGCGGCAGCTCCCATTGTTTACAACCAAGTAGGCAATCGCATCTGGAGGGTACCAGATTACAGAAGCTGGTTGCCTGCAGCGTGAAGTGATTGCACTCGGAGGTTCTGTTTGCCATCTCTGCTTCATGGCTACGGCTTGTGGGAAGCAGGCAAACTGGACACAGGGAGACCAGCTCATGCCTCTTTCCTAATAAATGATTCTGGGTGATCGGGAAAGCAGCACAGCCCCTAGGACTGCTGGCAGGAGAGCCGCATACACCCCCAGCCATCTCTTCTGGAGAGCTGAGGTCTGGATCCCAGCCACTTACATCATAACTTTTGGTGTGCATGCCCTCCCTCAGAGAAAGGAGCTACCAGTCTCTGGCCTGAATGGTTGCTATTTCCATGACTGCAGCAGCAGTTCCTGTGTTCCTTTGTTATGAGCTGGACTTTCCAGCTCTGTCTGAGATCAGCCAGTTTGCACAGCCTGTTTCCACATGAGCTTGGCTGGGTATGTCCAGAGCAATTTCAGTACCAAGGTGGGTGGCAGGGAAGGTGGGGGGAATGACGTGAAAGTAGGAATATTTCCAGCAAGTCTGTTGTTTTCAGCCACAGCCCTCCATGGGTAAGATGAGGATTCCTACTACCAAACTTTTCATGCAGCTGTACCGGGAGAGAATGACATAAGAACTGTAAAACAGTTGCACATTTTTTAAAACTGCCATAGAAGCCATTTATTATAATAATCACAGATGCAAACTGCTTTATGATCCAGGGCCAAGCATGAGTTGCTCCTTTGCCAAAATTGGTTGTGGCGCCTTGGCTGAAGTGACCTTGCTCAGTGTTAAGTGCCAAGCAGAAGGGTCATTTAACCTTAGCCCACACATGTTGGGAAGCTGCTCCCAGTGCGGCACGACAGAAAACCTCTTCCGAAGCCTTACACCTGTAGTGGGGAGCCTGCAGTGCTGCAGAGGCTATTGGACTCAAATTCCCATCATTCCTGATCATTGGCTATGTGGTCTGGGACTGATGGGCCACATCTGCAGGGCCTCAGAAACCTGTGACTTGGGCTCCTATCTTCCCCAGGCAAGAGGGCCTTTCAAGCAGTACTGCATTTCTGTAGGATGGAAATGGTTGGTGAAATTTTGCCAGGCTTGGATGCCAGTGAGAGGTCGTGGTCGGGCACATGGTCTGTGTGGGTGTCATCCATGACAGCCAAGCAATCTCTAGTTCAATCCACGGTATCTCGCATTTACGGCTGCACAAACTCATGTTCTCCAGATGTTTTAGACTGGAGGGCACTGGGACCAGCCCCAGCCAGCACTCCGGTTTTCTGGAATTATACGGGCCAGAACTGTAACCTAAAACAGCCGGAGGAGCATCTAATTCCAATCATTCAGACCACAGATAACAACTTCTGTGGCTCTTCATAGGAAGCCTTGGAGATGCACTTCCACCCAGAAAATACACTGAGCTAGATAGCCTAGTACTCAGTTCCATATAAGGCAGCTTTGTGTATTCAGAGGAGCATTTAGGGAGAGTTTTTAATGCCAGGGTTTGGCATATGTTATGGCTGTTACACCCACATCGTAAGCCAAATGTGTAGTTGATCAGCGTTGTATCAAGTTTGGGCAAGGATTAGAATGTCACAGTCTCTAAATAAGGGCATATCACTGCTCAGTC